TATCTATATATATATATATATATATATATATATATATATATATATATATATATATACACACACACATTCTATTACGTATCTTGTTAAAAGGTGTAAATAAATACTTTAGTTCTAAAGACGATGACAAATCTATTGCATGTTGATATGTCATAACAATTAGTTTATATATCACCAAAATTCAGACATTATGATTATACTTTGAACATGGTATGTTTTTAGAGCAATGGATGAAGATGGTTATGCAAGCGTTTACGTAAATGAAACGACCCTTTATGATGCACAAGGCAAGGACTTACCTTTTCATCTTCTCGATAAGCTTCACAAAACTGTGGTTTGTGACTTCCAAGGTTACGGAAATAGGTGCTCCGACACAACATGCTCCGACACAACATACAGGAACATAAAGGAGCTGAGAGCAGCAGGGATTAAACTGAAGGTAGAAGAGTCACGGAAGCTGACAGCCATCTCGTTCCGTTATCGGTGGATGTGGTTGCGTGCTGAACTGACACTGCCAAAGATCATAGTTGATGACACAACAGCTACTAGTTTTCTCAACCTGGTAGCGTATGAGATGTGTCCAGATTTTGAGAACAACTTCGTGATCAGTTCCTTTGTGGCTTTCATGGACTCGCTCATCGACCACCCTGAGGATGTGAAGGAGCTGAGATCAGCAGAAGTTCTGTGCAATTCGCTTGGGAGTGATGAGGAAGTGGCGAAGCTCTTCAACACCATAAGCTCTGACTTGGTGCCCAACTGTGGGATCTATTCAAGTGTTGGACAAGAAATTGAAAAACATCATAAGAAGAAATACAGGACATGGTTTGCTCTTGCTTATCATACTTATTTTAGTAACCCTTGGGCATTCATTGGTTTTCTTGCTGCCATTTTTGCCCTAGTTCTCACTTTCATTCAAGCTTGGTTTGCCATTCACCCTAAATGCTGAAATTTCTTTCTTACTTTTCCATTTCTCCCACAACACTTTCATTATGCGTTTGCTAATCTTTTCTATTCATAATTAAGGATTTGTAGAAGCTCACAATAAAACTCTGTTTCTGATTAATGTATCTGAAAAAGTTGATCTTATAAAATTTATCAATCTTGCATTTCTATTTTTAACATGTCATTATGAAATAATATTCTTTTTGTTGAAACTGCTGCAAAGTGTATATTTGAGAATGAATCTATAAAGAAAGCTCCACAAATGTCATGATAAAATATGTAATGAAAAAAGTCCTAGAATAATGCATGCACTGTAGAAGAGTAAAAGATGTTGATAACGGGTAACGATCATTCATAAAATGTAACGTCCCCGAAATTTTGGTTTTAAATGTGTTAAAAAATATAAATTTTTTATAAACTCCTGAAGTGAATATGTATAATATGTCATAATCTGGATACTTAAAATTGAAACAAAAAGTATTAAAAGGGTATAAATTTTAAATTAACAAAGGATATAAAGTGTATAAATTTTCAGAAACACTATAGGCTTCTACTCACTTACCAATCATGATCATAGTAATATCATAACCACAAATAGAAATCAAAGAATGAGCGAATATGATAATAATAACAAAACAAAATATGCATAGGCTACAATAGCTTTAAAATATGCATAGGTTACAACAACTTCTGAATATTAGAATAGGCTAACCAAGATTGGAATAACTAAATTCATATTCTTATGTGTAAGATGGAGTTTCACACCTCTATAGTAGCTAAACTTTTGACTATTTGTCTTATAAAAGAAGACCATACATGCTTCCATTGAATTGAACATATAATTGAGAGCTATGTAAAAGTAATTTTTTATACTAATTTTTTATATCAATTATAATCTATCTGGTATAAAAAGGATTCGATGACATAATTATAAATATTGTATGTTTTTTTTATATTGTTAGAATCGATAGATAAAGTGGGAGAAGTAATATAATATAAATATTTAAGATTTTCTATATCGACTGGAGTTAAAACTAGTATAGAAATAAACATAGTGAAATTTTTGTAATAAAAAAAAGACTTTCTAAACGGATTTTAGTTATAACCAGAAAATAGTTCTTTTTTTTTTTGTAAACCTAAGAGATGACAATTTTAGTGTTTTGGAAACACAGACAACAACACGCCCCAAGTTTTATCATTTTTAAATATGAAAATTAAAGTTTTTTCATTTTTCCATTAGTATAGAAAACACATTTGAAATCACCTTGTATGTTTTGGTTTCACGCAACTCAACCTATAAAAATGTAATGGTATTTTTGAAATTATGGAAGGCCTTTAGGTTTTGGTTCTTTATAAAACCAAAGCCTAAAGTTAAACTTTAGTCCTATGACTTTGGTTTCACATATTCGAAGTTTAAAAGTGCCACAAATTTTCAAAATGTAATTTTTATTTTTATATTTTTTTAAGAAGCGGAATAGACTTCAATTTTACTAACAATCAAAGTCTTTTCCTAAATAGGCTTTGGTTGCCACAAAATTGAAGTTGAAAAGGTGCTACAAATTTCCAAAATGCCATTTTATTTCTTTTTCTGAAATACAGGAATAGACTTCGATTCTATTAATAATCGAAGCCTATTTTATAATAGGCTTCAGTTATTAATAGAATCTAAGCTTACTCTCCTACTAGGATTAAAATTTCAACAAAGTTACTTCTCTCCGCCATTTGAACGCTCCTCTACGAAACTCATCATCACCTCCATTTTCATTCTCTACTAAACAACACAAAACCTATCTTCACATCTTATTCTCCATTTTCAATCTCTTATTTCAAAAGCATAGGTTATCTCACGGATTCGTCTCCTTCGTCTTCCTCTTTTCATTTCATTCATAGTCAATCAATTAAAAGTGAAGGTCACATTGATCCAAACAAACACGAAGTACTTTAAAGCATCCACGCCACTCATTGTTCGAACATGAAGCCTATATAAACAAGGTGTTGTAATACTATTACTTTATTGCAAAAGAAACTTTTGCAACGTTGAATATTATACATTGAGAGCAACGTCTCTTTTGGCCAACGTTCCTTTTTCCAATTCAACGGTCAAAAATTTATTTACTCTTTTTTCCTTCTAGCTCTATAACTAAAGGTGTTTCTCCATTTTGTAAAACACCCCAAAAGAAGTCTTTTCTCTTCTCCTTTCTTCTTTTCCTCTTCTAAAAATATTTGGGGTTTATTTAATACTCTTTTTATAGATCCTTGCTAGTTTTGAGATCCTCAGAAATATTCTGGGAAGTTCCTGTTGTATCTTGAAAGACTTGCGCAATATACCGCAGATAAGTCCTTAAGGACAATGAAACCACACGCCTCAAGAAATATTGTTCGTGATTATGTTAGTTTTTCTACAACACAAAGTACCATTGCATTTCATTCTTGAACTATTGGGTACGCGAAGAACTTTTTCTTGTCTGTTTCATTTGTTAATTCACTTTACTTCTTTATCGAACATGAATCATTCTTGCATTGTGAAGGCGAACCACTACTGCACTTTTGAACGCGAAGCATCCATTATTGTCAAACATCATTCATTGTTGAAGCATGGAAAGCCTAATCCCCTATTTTATTTATATTTTCCATTATGGTTTTATGTTGCAATTCTAGAAGAACCAAAATGGAAATTTAGGCATCGATTGTTGAATTGAAGTACAATGTCCAAAATAATCAGTTCCTACTCTTGTTTTAGATTTTCAGGGGGAGAAAAGAAAGAGCAAAGTTGTTTGCTCTTCTCCCTCAAGCATGGTTTTCAATTTTTTCATGTTTTCCCCTTTCTGTCTTTATAAAGATAACGTCTCTTTGTTCTTTTTTTATGTAATTTTTTGCACTCCTACAAGTGAATAACATTATTTTCTTTGTTTTCTCTCATTCAAGCTATTTTGTTTTTCATTAACTATTCTGATTGTGTTTTGTATAATTTTCCTCTACACTTTGGTTCTCATCTCAAGTATCAAGTCTTTCTTTGTCAAAAAAATTGTAGTTATTGCATCATGGATTTGTAGTGATTCTCGGTCTGGTTTCGTAGTATGTGTGCGGAACTTCCACTTTTCAAATTGTTTTTGTTGTTCTGGTGGTGAAAGTACATGTGAACTACTGGTTCGTCGCTAGCATGCCCTATCATTGTTCACCATCATTGAAGCATCATTACGACAGATGATGTCAACCTATAGAAATTGGAACTTTTTATACTGATTGTTGCCTTAATTGGTATAAATAGTATCAATATATATACCGGTTGTAGAATTGATATAGAAAGCAAAAGCTTTCTATATCGCCTATATCTATACTGGTTTTGGAATCGATATAGAAAGTCTTTTTTGAGTGGATAGACCAAGGGTCTATGTGTGAGATGTTAGTGATGACATCAAGGGTTAGAGATCAGTGATTGATGATTGAAGTTCAAGGATCAAGATCAGAGTAATTCAGTAATATTGAATTGTTTATGTTAGAGGATTAGGAATCCTATTGTTATTACTTCCATGTATGGAGTGTTTGATTATGATTGATATAATCAGAAGGTATGTATCTTGTTTTGTGTTTGATTATGGTTGATATAATCAAAATGTATGTATCTTGTTGTGTGTTTGACTATGATTGATATAATCAGAATGTATGTATCTTGTTGTGTGTTTGATTATAGTTGATATAATAAATATTTATGTATTTGTTGTTATGATTGTTTTATTGGTAACTTACCTCATACATGTTTGTATTTGTGAATGAAATTATCGGCATGATTGTATATGTTATACGTGAGCAGATGATATTGCAGATGTTCCATAAGCATGATAGATTCATGAGATGACAGGGGAAAAATTCAGGTTTCTTTTTAAAAAGTTCTTTTGGCATATGTAACTGTTTTATTTCCTTAGTCATTTTAATTACTTTTGGAATATGTAATTGGGTAAGGTTTTTGAAACTATTATGTTTTGAATAAATTATACATATGAAAAGGTAAAGATTTTTGAAAAATACGCTTTCTCAATGATAAAGTTTTAAAATTTATCGAATTTTTATAAAATTGTGACATCCCAAATTTGAGGTATTATAGTCAGTCAAGTTTAAGAATGTATAAGTATAAGCATGCAATGCAAATAATATATAACAAAATATAATATCATTAAAACTAATATTTAAATGTTCTAGATTGTAGAAAAATGAAGTTGATGACCTCATAAAACAAATATTTCTCTATCATGATAATAAAAATAAAATGTCAAATCTAACATCTATACTAAATTTTCATAGCATTGGTAATATGACTAAATTGTTTATTAATAGCCAAGTGGATAACAATTCCTACCTCTAATCCATTATCACAATAAAACTTTTTCTGGATATCCGCGAGTTCTAAAATACCGACGAGTATTTATAAATAAATATTTGTACGAATAGTGAGTGGATCGCGGATCAAATTTTTATTTTATGAATCAGGTTGTGGGTATATTTTATCCGTATCCGAACCAACCCTTTGTAATCCTAATTAGATTCCATTATCTATATAACATTTGAACATATAACATTTGAACCTATAACATTTGAACATGATTAAATTTCTACTCAAACTAATGCTTTTATACTTTCTTTTTTATCAAACTCTAACACTATATTTTAACAAAACAACCTATATATTATTAAAAATATAATCCATTCAATATTCTTACGATGTAATTTAAATTATATAAAAAAATTAATATTCAAAATATTTAATAAATAACAATATTGTTTTGAGAAATATACATATTCTCTAAATTATAAATCCTTAAACACTATTTATTACTATAATTTTATATTCTGTTTTTTATTACTAACAAATTTATATAAAATAATAATTTTCATTTTTACTAAAAGAACAGAAAAAGAAACAGTATACCCATAGTCTAGTTTTACCTAAAACAGGTATATCTCTGTATTCTAAAATATTCTAATTTGTATATAACCTGTAAACAATCTCGAGTTTATTTGTGGAAAGAATAACGGTAGAGTGATATATTTTTATATTCATTTGATTTACCATATATAGATAAAATAATTATAAAAAACTGAATTTTTTATATTTTTTGGAAAAGAAAAAAAAGTAAAGAATAAAAAAAATAATGTCAAATAAATATAAAAAATATATATATTTATCAAAGTATCATTTATCTTGTATAAGCACTACATTTAGTATCACTTATGGAATCCAAAATAGGAAGTTATAAGCAAATTAAGGCGTCATGAATGAAAAACGTGATTGTACTTACCTACCAACCAATATCAGCAGGAATATAATCATACTTGAAATACTAGCAAAGCACAATGAATCCACTTCTACATGCCTTCTTCCCCGCAATTTCTCACTGTCCATTCCAAACTTGAAACATTCACAAAGCTAAAAAGCATAAAGTACTATGTCTCCTTCGTTACCCCAAGAATCATATCCACAAATATAGCCTCAAATTACTTTCAGCTTTTCTTATTCCTCATTGCTTGTTGCATTTTAAATTCTACACACTTCCTAGTAACCATTATTCCGATAAGGAAATTTCTATATTCCTTAATTTCTGAATTCATAGTATAAGAATCTAGGTATGAAAAAATTTGTAAATTTATTACTTTACAATTTTAGGATGAAAGCGATTTCACTCAAATTTTAAGAATCTTTTCCTAAAAAAGATATATCTAATTCAAGTTTGAGGATAAAGCAAAAATGAGAAATATATGACCCATACTTCAATTTGAATTAAGTATCTATGATATGTATTATTTGATATTTAGAATAGTTTATCAATACTTATTAATAAAATATCTAATTTACAAGACAGTAATATTTTTATAATGACAATAATTTATAATTTTTTATTTTGATAATTAATGTGTGTATGATTTTAATTTAGCTTCACACAACAATAATCAATATTTATCATATTATGTAGAATTTTTATAAACTTTTCGACATGTATATGTATAATGTATAATATCTTATTATTTCAGCATATTAAAATATGTAACATATTTAATGGTCTCCGTGTATCATATGATTAGTTTACTCGTAATTTTTGACTATTTAAACTGCAATAACATGAACTACTGTTTTCATGAACAACTTCAGTTATCTAGTACACTCACAAATATACCGACCAAACCAATCTTTGAATAGCATTCCTGCACAACATGAGTGAGACAACATACCTCAACCCGAACTTTAGTGAACTAGAAAAGGCAAAGGAGACACCACAAAACACAGTTCCAAAGATACAAAAGGTAGCACATTATCTCCGAGATCGAAAGCATTCGAAGAAGCATTACTCCCCCAGGTTGCTTTCTATTGGTCCAATCCATCATGGTGAACCCAACCTGGAGCTGGGAGAAAAATACAAGCGTATGTGGGCAGCAAAGTACCTTGAACGCACCAAGCAAGATGGCGAAACTCTGTATGAAAAGTTTGCATTACACGTCAACCAATTGAAAGAACAGTATGCTGAGGATGTCGTCAGAGACTTCCGTGGTGATGATGAAAAGTTTTCGTGGATGTTATTTGTGGACGGATGTTCTCTGCTACAAATCCTGGACAAGGGAAACCTCAGTCATCCCGAAGACTTGAATGCTAAGGTTGACCAACTGGTTCTCGTGTGGCAGGATGTGCTTTTGTTAGAGAACCAGCTTCCCTACGAAGTGCTTTTACTCTTGTCAGGCCACCAGAACGATGACACACTGGTAAAAAGCATGAACAAGTTTCTTGAGTGCCATCATTTGTCACCAAAGCAAAGAGAAAACACTCATGGCACGACCAAGTTTAAGAAAAACGAAGACAGGTAAAAATACCAACTTTCAGTCTCAATTTTCGTAGTTTGTATTTCAAATACTGTATCTTGTTTTTCAGAGTATCGGATGAAGATGGGGACCCAAGTGTTTATGTGAGGAAAGAAGACTCCCTTAGTCAAGAACACATAATAGACATAAGAAAGGAGCCACCTTTTCATCTTCTCGATCAGCTTCGCAGGTACATCGTCGGTGACGCTCAAGAGGAAACCCAACATCAGAAAGGTGACGCAGAAAACGGGGAAAGAGACGAGGAAAAAAATGAAGATTTGGACATGACAACATACAGAAACATAGAGGAGCTGAAAGCAGCAGGGATTAAACTCAAGGTAAAAAAGTCACGGAATCTGAGAGACATCTCCTTCTCTTATCGGTGGATGCGGTTGCGTGCTGAACTGACACTGCCAGAGATCACAGTTGATGACACAACAGCTCCTACTTTTCACAACCTGATAGCGTATGAGATGTGTCCAGATTTTGAGAACAAGTTCGAGATTAGTTCGTTTGTGGCTTTCATGGACTCGCTAATCGACCACCCTGAGGATGTGAAGGAGCTGAGATCAGCAAAAGTTCTGTGCAATTCGCTTGGGAGTGATGAGGAAGTGGCGAAGCTCTTCAACACCATAAGCGCTGACTTGGTGCCTAACAGTGAGAGCTATTTGGGTGTTAGACGGAAAATTGAAAAGCATTATAGGAAGAGATACAGGGCATGGCTGGCTCTTGGGTATCATACATATTTCAGCAACCCTTGGTCAATCATTGCTTTCCTTGCTGCACTTCTTGCTCTGGTTCTCACTTTCATCCAAGCTTGGTTTGCCATTCACCCTGTTTGTTGAAATTTCTTTCTTACTTTTCAATTTCTTTCACAATTAGGAGTTTCACTTTCTAAGAGGCTCACGTTGAAGTTCTGTTTCTGATCAATGTATTCCAAAAAGTTTATATAAGAAATTTTCAATCCTATATTTTATTATCTGTTTTTAACATGTCATTAATTTTTTTTTTCTTTTTTTAAACTGGTGCAAAGTGTATATTTAAGGATGACTATAAAAAGAAAGCTTCAAAAAATGTTAATGGTTGTATAAAGGTTTAATAGTATTTTTGGCCATTTATTTGTATCATAGATTTAACATTTTATTAATATTTATAATTGACTAAATGTGATTTATATTTAAAAAATAATAATCAATGTGGCCTTTTCCTTTCTATCAATGTTATTATTATTCCTCTAAGTTTGCTCCTGAAATTGGATAGTAAACGTGTAAATGGGTGACTGTATTAGATGTAAACTCATTTCACCTAATCTAGCAGAAGAGTTTTCTTTTAAACTATACCGAGTATCTTAAATAAAAAATAAATAAAAACAAAATATTGAATCATTGCTATACATATACGGATAAAAATGTTATTAAACCTTGTATAAATGTATAAAAGTAAAATATGTAATAAAAAGAGTCATAGAACAAGGGAAACACTGGAAGAGTAAAAACTATATGAAATTAATAATCATTCATAAAATCTAAAACTCCAAAATTTGAAGTTATAAACATGTTAAAACATATAAACTATGTTAATTTTATATAATTTGAACATTTATAATTGAAAGAAATAGATGTTATATAAATTGTCAATTTTCAATTAAAACAAAAGAACGTAAATATATGAATTTTAGAGAGAATTGTAGGCTTCCTTTTAACTAACATACATGCAAAATCATCAAATCATATTCCAAGATGATAGTACGATCATAACATAATAACAAATACACTACAAGGAAAGTGGAGTTTAGTTGTATAAAAATAGAATCGGCCTAAAACAGACTCTGTTAGAGTGAGTGAAGCCCACTCTAAAATGACACTAAATTAATTAAAAGTAAAACATAGAATGGGTGAGGCTGACGCTAAATGTGTCGATAAATAAAATTAAATATATTAATTATAAACTGAGTCAAAATTAAGAACACATTTTTCTTTTCTTTTGTAAGTTGAATATTCTCAGGTTGATTCTTCACAGATCATCTAATGAATATTAATGTACTTATATTCATGATTGAAACAATTTACACTTAGCAAACTTATTATTATTATTATTATTATTATTATTATTATTATTATTATTATTATTATTATTATTATTATTATTGTATTATATGGTCCTCCCATGTACGGGTCTTTCCATGATCGTTCTTCCATGACCGTTTTCTCGTGGTCATCCTTTCAGGTCGTTCTTTCATAGTCGTTTTTCCAGGTCATTTTTTTATGACCGTTCTTTCAGGCCAACCTCCCAAGTCGTCCACCATCCTCCTAGGACGTCCTCCTAGATCATCCACCTAGGCTGTGTCAAGTGGTAATGACTCATTAAGCCCTTAATGTAGATTAAGGTGTGATTAGACCATTATTAGGCCAGCGAAAGGTAAAGGTCCATCACAACTAGTATAAATAAAGGTTCCAAACATGACTTTAGGATCACAATGCACAATGTATGTGTTACTATGGGCTCACAAGCTACCGGTCTCGACCAGCTTCTCTTCCGTTCGGTCTCGACAGCTAGTGAGCAGAGTTGACGCACAAATAAATGTGGTAACAGATGTCGTTAGACAATTAAGGTTTGCATTAATGACCATTAAGAGGTAAATTAATTGGTCAAATTCCTTTAAACTCTATAAATAAAAGTTTAGGCTTGAGGTACAGGACATTCAACTCATACTACAATACGCCCTATTTACGTCCTATTAAGGACTTCAATATTTAACTCTAACAAACAGTTCATAAAACCGCTCCTAACTTGAGCGTCGGAGTGCCTTTTGCAGGTACCTCCCCCTCCGGTCCAAAGCGACAACCGAGCGGTCTAAACTGGAAGCGTACAAGCGGAGCACACAAGTGGAAGGCAACCGACCCTCGGATGAATCTCACAGAAACAGTATGCATTACTTGTTGTGCCAACAATTCGGTTATATTACTAACTTGAGCGTTGGAGTGCCTTTGACAGGTACTCACCCACACGGCTTGGACAAGGAGGAGGGAAAACGAACAATGTCACTTGGAAGATGGAGGAAAACTAGGGAGTCCATCTGGTCTTCAAGACAACTTGTATTGCTTTGAGTAAGGGACTTCAACCCTATATCCGAAACATTTTGGTGCCCACCGTAGGGCCGAGCTAGTATCCCCATTGTAACCATAAGGAACTAGTGAGAGGTGCTTTAAAGGACGTCAACCTTTCGGCCTCAACTGTTCAGCCATTTTGCCTCAACCATTCGGCCTCCGCCGTTCGGCCTCAAGTATTTGGTCATTCAGCCTCAACTGCTTAGCCAAATTTGACCTCAAGCATTCGGCCATCGGCCTCAACAGCTCAACCTCTCATGACGTCCCAAGTACTTAACCAAATTTAGCTTCAAACATTTAGTCATTCGGTCTCATAGATATTTAACCAAATTTATCCTCAAGCATTCGGTCATCCGACCATTCCACGTGTAATTAGCCAAATTATTATTATTATATATATTAACTATGATTATGTTGATTATGTGCCTTTTCTTTTCTTTGTTATTTCTAGTAATATAACTTGTCATCCATATCTTGGCCGTCTTGTCTTTCCCAGTGTCTCTCCTGGTCTAAGTAAGTTCTCTGTATTTAATTTAATTTTGGTATCTAGTTAATTCTAAATGTGATGAGCGAGACTACGACAACTTTCTTGTAAGAGATAAGATTGACGGATAATTGATATTAGGTATGAGGTGTCCAACCTCAAACAACTTGTATTTATTATAACTTGTTGGATGTTTGTATTTCTAGTTTTATATCATGTGTATATTATGTTGAATGTATCTTACTTTATTAATATATTTAATTAATTTTTAAATTATGATATATTTAGAAAATTTTAATTAAATTTTTATCTATTAAATACTTAAAAAATTTATAATTTTTAATTGAGTATGTGATTTAATTTTTCTGTTAACTGTAATTGTAAATAAGGTTGTTATTTTGTTTTATTATTTTATTTAGTTGTTATTACATATAGTCGAATAATTTTACAATGTTATAATTTTTTAATCTTATAACTTTATAATTTTATAATTATATTATTTTATAATCTTGTAATTTTATAACTTTTTAAGTTTTTCTAACTTTATGCTTTTATAATCATATAAATTTACAATTTTATAAATTTATATTATAATTTTATTATTTTTATATTTTCATGATTTTATAATTCTTATATTTTGTAATTTTATCATGTTATAATTTAATAGTTTTTAATTTTATAATCTTACAACTTTCGATTTTGTGAGTTTTTTTTAATACTTATTTATTAAATTATTCGTCTACCAATCAATATAAAAGGTTCTTTTATAATAATAATAATTATTATTATTTATTTGACGTAAATAAGTCTATAAAATTTACAACTATATCCTCACACAATTCTTTTAAGTTAATATTTACCAATCAAGATATAATTATGACAGAAATTATTCTTTTATAGTAACTATATATTTATTTGACTATATTATTGGTACAAATTATGGAATTCATAAGGGGAAACAATTTTTTAGATAAAGGTGTTTTTTATTTCTTACAAAAAATTGTTGGGTTAATTTTTTTTTCATATGCAAGTTTTACTAATTTAGTTTCTACTTTTATTAAACGGAACATGGTTTAGTCTCTACTAATGGTAAGGAACTCAACATATATTTTTGATATGAAAGACAACTAATATTGTAAAATATCTTGAGAGTCTAAAGTTTTATATTTTATTTTATTAAAGTAAAAACAATATTGGGTCCCGATAAATTCTTACTTAATTGATAAGTAAAAAATAATAATATTCTCGTATTTTTATATTAACCCCTAAACAAGTTCTAAATTAGGGGTTTTAATGTTTACCTTTAATTTTTATCTAAAAAACATTGTTTTGTATACAAATAATTTGGTTTTTCATTATTTTCAATGTTAGTGTAGGAGACAGTGAAGGTAATTGTTTTATATTTTCTTGCTCAAGACAAAACTTTAAAATCAGGAAATATTTTTATAATTAAAATAAAAATAAAACATCTTTAATGTTAATACCTATCAGCTCCTAAACTGAATTTTGGGAAGAAGATTCACATTCTAAAAATAATGGATCTATTTTTTTTATTTAATCTAATCCTTTTTTTTGTTTGGTCATTTTATCACGTGCTTAACAATTCAGCATAGCTATCCTTAAATATGTAACATGACAACTTTGTTTAAAAGTCAAGCTTTGTCATCTTTTACCAACCCTAGAATGCTTGGTGGTTAATCCAATGGCTGAAACAGAAGATTATACTTCACAAACAATGCACCATTGTTTTACCCTTTAATCAAAGAGATGACAAAGCTATCTTCACCCACCCATTAGATTGAAATATATTTTTTATTTTTAGCAACTATAGAATACCAACTTCATATAATGATTCTTAGTCTTAAAGTTTTCTTACAATTAACCACCTATAAAATAAAATTCTAAAAACCATGTCCTTTAATTTTTTTAAAAAACTAATTAAGTCGTATGAAAACGGAAAAATGTCATCAATCTTATGAATTCATAATTTAAGTTTCTTTTCTATATTTAATGGTTAAAAGTCTTATAACATTTATAATTTAAGTTGCTTTTTTCTACCCTTTTTAGTTTTTTGTTTTTACAATAATAATATCTAGATAATATATACATCACTAACATTAACTTATATATTTTAAATTGAGAAAATAAATCCAGATAATTAAAAACTAAGATTAAATGTGTAAAATTCAAGGATTAAAATGTTGAAAAGTTAGAATTAAAGGAATGAAATTGTGGGAAAATGTAGAAAACAAAATTACAATTTTGTGAAATATAAGAACTAAAACTAAAACTAATCCTATATTTTAACAACAAAGAAAACCATTGGGGAACTCTGAGTATAAATA